CCCACTTTCCCCAGAAAGTGCCCTTGGCCTCCTTCCCTTCTGAGTGGGGGCTCCTCAAAATGTAGCCCCTGGAAGAACTCATATTGTGAGGGACTTCCCCTGACTGCAAACCCGTCAAAGCATCACCCAAATAAAGCTTGTGTGTGTGTGGCTACTGCCTTGTGCTCATGTCTTTCTCCTTGATCAGCCTTGGAATCCCTCCAACCCCCTACAGGCGGAAATCTGGGGAATTCTGCATATTTATAACTTCTCTGTAGTCGCAGTTTGATAGCTTTTAATCTGTCTTATACCGCTAGCATTAAAATGTATCATCTGTCTTAGTCAATACTGTTTCTAAAACCTAGTCTTCAACTGCAGGGTTGTGTTTCAACAATTTAGGATGGCTTCCTAGCTCTCATGACCTTGGTTATCCATCTCAAATCTCTTTGGACTCTAGTTTCTATTCTCCTGTCTTGGACACCAATTTGGGGCACTGGGTTTACCATTCCAATCCATGCTTCTGGTGCACACAGCCCTGGAGCTATAACTTGGTCCATCGATGATGTAAGAAGAGGGACTCGAACTGAGTGCTCTATGAAATTTTTAGTTTCCATCCCTAAGATTCCATGGTCCATAATATTTTCAACAGAGTTTACACGAACGTGGCCAAGGAACAGAATCAAGGATGATAAAATTACATTTATGGGCTTGTTTGTAGATCTACAGAAAAGGAAGGAGATTTGTTAGCATGATCAGATCCTGTGCAGTGATTTTTTTCAAGTTATTTGTTATGACACTGAGTAAGCTTGAGATCCTGCTAAGAAATGCTGGAAGGAAATAATTCATCATCCATGCTTCTGAAGGCCAACTCTATTTTCTTAGTGAAGTTAAAGCTATCCAAAAATATCCAAAAATGAGGCCTCACTTCACACAAACCAAATTGTGCAGTGGAAAAGAAATGTTAACACACGGTAACTAGTAATTTTTCCCTTGTTGATATTAGCTAAAGTTTAGGCTTTAACGACTTGGCTAGGGAGAATGACTGAAAATCTGAAGATAATGGCATGGGAGATGGGATTATTTGAGAGGCAAGTATAACTACAAAGGCTAGACATGATCGTGGTCTCGGATTACGTATTTTAGGGACCTGTTGATTTGAATGGTTCTATCTGCCTGTCCTCCAGGTTGCATAATTTTTTGCAGAATACAATGCTCTAATCTTTGCATCTTGCTCTGGCTTCAACAGCATCAACATTTGACAAATATGTGCACAGAAGCATTTGCTGCTGAGGGAAAATTCTCAGATGCTGTGTATGATGTCTATCCAAAGAAAAAGATCCCCAGCTATAATTTGACAATGAAAATACATGAATGCGAATACCAAAAGGAGAAGGAAGAGAGAAATAAATGGAAGCAATATTTAAATAATGACTAAGAGTCGGAGAAAGACAAATACCATATGACCTCACTTATATGGAATCTAAAAAACTGAATGAACGAGCAAAGTAAACAGAAGTGGTCTCAGAGATATAGAGGAACAACTGATGGCTGCTAGTTGGGAGGGGGTGGAGATGAGGAAGAAGGGGAAGGGATTAGACGGCATAAATACGTAAATAATGACTAAGAATTTCCCAAAATTAATGTCAGACACAAAGCCAAAGATCTAGGAAGCTCAGACAACACTAAGCAGAATAAATGCCCCTACAACTACACCTAGGCATATCACATTCAAACAGCAGAAAATCAAAGGTAAAGAAAAAAATACTGAAAGAAGCCAGGGGCAAAAACACCTAACCTATAGAGAGGAACAAAGATAAGAATGACATCCAACTTCTCCTTAGAAACCATGCAAGCAAGAAGAAAGTAGTGTGAAATATTTATAGTGTTTAGAGGGGGGGGAAAAAACAACCTAGAATTCTGTATCCTGTGAAATTATCCTTCAAAAGTGAATGAGAAACAGAGTTTCTCAGACAAACAAAAATGGTAGAATTTGTTTCCAGTGGACTTGCCTTGCAATAAACGTTTTTAAAAAGTTCTTCAGAGAGAAGGAAAATAATATAGGTCAGAAACTGGGATCACATTTTTTTTTTTAAGCTGAGCCATCCTGCCACCTGCTGGCAGCTCAGCAGCAGCTCAGCTCCGGCCGGGAATGGAACCGGCAACCCTGTTGCTCAGAGCGAGCTGTTAAGCAACTGAGCCACTCGGCCAGCCCCTGGATCAACATTTTCAAAAAAGGAAGAGTGTCTGAAAAGGAATAAGTAAAGGTAAATAAAAACTTTTCTTATTCTTACTTTTAATTGAGCTAACAGATAACAATCGGCTCAAAATAAAAGCAACAATGTGTTGATGACTACAGCTTATATATAAGTGAAATAAAGGACGGCAATCATACAGGTGGCAGGAGGAAGGAATTAGGAAGATTTTGCTATAAGGAGAAATTAGAAATATATTATTATAAGGTGCTTGCACTACTGTGAAGTGGTATAGTGTTATCTTACAGTGGACTCGGATTAGCTGTAAACATATATTGCAAACCTCATGGCAACTACTAAAAAACAGACGGAAAATAAGCAAATGAAAAGATGCTCCACATGATATGTCACTAGGAAGCTGCAAATTGAAACAATGAGGTGCCACTACACACTTATTAGAATGGCCAAAATCCAGAGCACTGACAACACCAAATGCTGGTGAGGATGTGGGGCAACAGGAACTCTCACTCACTGCTGGTGGGAATGCAAAATAATACAGCCACTTTGGAAACACAATTTGGCAGTTTCTTATAAAAACTAAACAGTCTTACTATACAGTCCAGAAATTGCACCCCTTGGCATTTACTCAAAAGAGTTGAAAACTTATGTCCACACAAAAACCTGCACACAGACACTTGCAGCATCTTTACTCATAATTGCAAAACTCAGCATCAAAACTCAGTGGGTGAGTGGATAAATAAACTGCGATGCACCCAGACCATGGAATACTGTTCAACGCTAAACAGAAATGAACCATCAAGCCATTTAAAGACATGGAGAAACCGTAACTGCATATCCCTAAGTAAAAGGAGTCGATCTGAAACAGCTACATACTGTGTGATTTCAACTATATGACCTTCTAGCAAAGGTAAAGCTATGGGAACAGTAAAAAGATCAGTGATTGACAGGGCTTGGGGGAGGAAGGAATGAACGGACCAAGCACAGAGGATTTTTAGGGCTGTGAAATTATTCTATATATTATAATGGTAGATCTATATCATTATACATCAGTCAAAACCCCCAGACTGAGTAAATCCTAATGTAAACTACGGACTTGGGGTGATAATGAGGGGCGGGTGTAGGTTCATCTATTGCAACAAACGGACCGCCCTGGTGGAATGATGACAGTGAAAGAAGCTGTGCATGTGGGGGTCAGGGGACACACGGGAATTTTCTGTACCTTCCTCTCAATATCTCTGTAAACCTAAAACTGCTCTAAAAATAAAGTCTATCAAAAACACAGTTTTAAAAAAAGGGAATCATAAGCATATCTTTGTGGAGAGGGTGAGACAAGGTGATGGGGTCGCCGGTACAAACAAGGGTTCTCGGATTCTGGTTCGTTCTTAATCTGAATGGTAGATACCCAAACGGATCACTGATGACTTTTCCACGTCACTGGATTTACCACCGGAGCGCTGGCCTCAGATAATAGTTGTACGAGATAACAGCTTCTCCTTATTGTTTAAGCCACATTTTGAGTTGTGTTTTCTATCACTCATAGTTAAAATAACCCCAACTGATACAGCCTCTTAATTTGGATGCAGTACAAATGGGATTCTATTTAGCATAAGCCATCATTTCATCCTAATCTGTTTTGTCTAATCGCATCGTTAAAACCATACACTATTAGTTACCCCAACTATAAAAAAGATTGGTTTGGAACGAAGAAGCTGTCATTAAGACAGCTCAGCATTTTTCCAATCCAAAAAGGCATCTTGCTTGAAAACATTCTGATTAAGCATGTGTGACACCAAGGACAATCGGGATTTTTTTTTTAATCTATAAATCAGATAAGGAATCAGCCTTGTACTGTTGCCCTTGGCAGGGAGCAGCTTAATCTGGCCAGAAGATCACACATTTCCCATTGGGGCGACAGGCAGGAGGTCAGACCACAGGGCTGAATTCAGTTACCATGGGGAGTTCTCGAAAGGAGAGCAAAGAAGGAAATGACGAGATTTAGTTCAGAAAGGGGCATGGTCACTGCTGTTCTGGCCAGAGGAATAAAGAACAGTGGTTTCTCCACAGATAAGTCCTATACTGGAGACTATGTCCTGCTGAGGAAATGGCTTCCATCCCACCTACTTTCAGATATAAAGAAATGGGTAGACAATAAAAAGAAAAAGGGGACCCACAGAGGGACCTACACAGGCACACACCACATAGTCTATCTACCGGACTCTTTACAAAGTAAGCCTTTCATCTGCATTGTTTCAATTAGTCCTTAAAACCACCCACAGATTTCTGCTCAGTGGACAGATGGAGATGTAGAGAGTTTCAGCAAGCTGCCAAAGGCTGCCCCCTCGTGGTAGGTGGAGGTGAGGTTCAAACCTACGTCTGTCTGGCTCTAAAGCCCGTATTCATGATCTTCTCTTTATATCGTACACAAGAGCAACCTGGAACACTGCAGAAGAACGCGGTCTTGGCACATTACCTCCCAGCAGGCACTCAGAGGCTGCCCTCGTCATCGCTTACCCGCTCCTGTCAAGCGCAGTGCTGGCCACACCAGGAAGAGGCAGACACCGCCAAGCTTAGTCAGATTCCATTAGGAAGAGGTTGCTACCATCCTTGGTTCCCAGACCACAAAGCCCAGCCCTCACCTCCGTCAGCCACCTCAGATATGCGTCATCTTGGCCACAAGAGGAACAAGGTTTATAAAAAAAAAAAAAAAAAAGCATTTGCTCGAGGCACCCTCATCTCTCCCAGGTCCAGCTTCGCTCTGAAGCTAACGCTTGACGCCTGTTCTACTGACAGTAGAATGTCCACCATTACCTAAGGTCCAGCAAGAGACGGCCCCCAGGAGGGGGGCGCTGCTGTAGATGGCGTGCATGTACATGAGGTGAACCATCAGCTCCGCCAGGCACCAAGAGCAGAAGAGGCGGCCCAGCCCCCGGGCAAGGACGGAAAGGCTGACCTTCAGCGAGCACTGCCCTTGCTGCTGCATCTACAGTGGAAACAAAAGGAGTCATTAGATGGCACCTCCATTTTTCAAATCTTTCAGGTCGTCCCCAAGACAATGGGTTTAATAGCTTCCCAAAAATATGGTTGCTGTATCTACTAAAATAGGGCTGGTTTAATTTGCCTTGGGAACACCCCATGTTCTTGGGTGAGAAAGTCATGTGCGAACCTGAAAACGGTCCCACAATGAGAATGGGGCGGGGTCAGCAAGCCAGCCTAGCGCCAAGAGCCAAGACGGGTTCTGCAGACCTTCACCCCAGCCACTACCCTGCGAAAATCTGGGAGGGCAAAACACCCTGTACTCTCCCTCGGGCTCTGGGGTCTCTTTGGGCTCAGTGTCACCCCGTCTGTCATCATCCATCGCCCACTCATGTGTAAGGCTGGTAAAAGTAGGACTAAGTCAAGGAGAGGCGTGGGACTGGTAACAGAAAAGGAGAAGGAGACATGGAGCCGGAACACAAGGGGGAAATTAGGTGCGGGTGTGTCATCTGAGCTTACGCTCTTTTGGGAACAAGGCAGAGTAAACACCAACAGGGACAGTACATGACACAAGTCTCGTGTTTAGTAGGCAGTACAGTGGGACAGTTAAGAACACGGACTTCGGAGTTGGACAAAATCGGCATCAGATTCTAGCACAAGCCGCACAGCTGTGCGAGCCTGAGCCAGTTACTTCCCCTCTCCAAGGCTTGGTGTCTTCGTATATAAAGTAAAAATACAACGCGATGATCAAATATAATAAAGTCTATGACGTACTAAGTGCAGCGCCTGGCATATAGAAAGCACTGGATAACGGGCAGTTAATATCTGATAATCATGTACCGCCTATTGCCCTTCACCTTCTTCCGTCATGGCTCCCAGACTACCAGCCACAGGGCAGAATTAGGAGATGAGTCAGAGCCAGACACCAAGGGTGACAGAGGGGCGTTTTGATGGACAGAGACAAACCCCTGAGAGCATACTCAATACACATGGATGACACAGACCAAAAAAATTAAAAGCTCTACCCAAATAGCCTGGTTCTGTGGTCTCGCCTCACTGCCTGCTGTGTAGGGATGCACAAGTGTGGAAAGCACACAGATTCTGAAACGCATACGCATGCTGTAAAATGTGAAGTGAATTCGATTTCAGCCTAACACCAGCATGGAAGTTTGCTGGATCTTACATGGACAAGATTTTATGAGATTGAAGGCCACCGTGAATTGCAAGGGTGAAGCGAATATATACAGGATGAAGCTGAATGTGCAAATATGAACTGGCAGAGGCAATGGACTTGATTCAGCACTTGGCAATGAGGGCTCAAGACACGACACAAACAAGAAAGGCCCATCCTGAGGGGAAGGTGATCCTGACATAGTTCTTAAGCTTCCACTATCCTCTAACATCAAGGAACGGTGGGTCCCGCTGCAGCCAGGAGTGGCAGGCAGTCCCTTTAGAGGCGACGAGCGATCTGCTTGCCAGAGGATTTATTTTTATTCCATTTTGACCATACATTCTACCACTTTCTCCACTGTCCTCTTACAGCAAGAAGCCAGACTAAGAAATTGTCTGGCTCGGTGGCATCACGATAATCTGCACAAATGGATTTCCCCCTTTTGCCATCTGCTAGGTTAGTAACACCAAGGACAGCTCCTTGGTTTACTGGGGGGGGGGGGGGCGTTTATGTAAATTGACCCAACTAATGGGAATTTCCTTTTTCCTTTAGCTTTCCACAGTTCACCTCAGGAAGATACTTTGCCCAGCCACACCATCCAGCACTATTCAAGCAACAGCAACTGCTTTGAAAGGTTCAGTTATGACGGGGGAAGTGCTGGCTGGGAAGGGTCATCCAGGAACGTGGACTGGGCACATCGGGGATTTGCAGACTTGTATAGATCCCAGCTAACTGCAATCACAGCTATACTACCTGACCCAATGCAGACCCCTTTCCAGGCATAAACTGAGGGTGCTTTTCATTTGAATCCTCAGCTCAAGCGCCTACATGCTCTGCCAGATCCTACAGCCTAATCAACAAGTTGGTGGATGGCTAAATGCTCAGTGCAGACCCCATCATTTGTGTCTGTGTTATTTAATTCAGAGGAAACAGGAAATAACCCAGATGTCCAACAGTAGGGGATTGGTTAAATGCATGAGCGTAACTCATGTTATGGAGCCAGGGAAACTAGTTTTGTTCAGTGTGCATAAATAACGAAAGGCTGGAAGGATATACACCAAATCGGCAACAGTGACGGTCGCTATCTTTCGACAGTAAGATTTTTCGGTTGTTTTCATCAAATGATTATTTTTATGGGGTGGGGGGAAGTAATGTAATTTGACAATATTGTGGAGGCTGTGGTCCTCTCTGTTAGTGAGGCAAGGCCGTCTGTTTCTTCGCCCTTCTAAAAAGTGTCTAGCTTCAGGGTCTTCCTGGGAAGGCCAGCTCAGCCAGGAGCAAGTACTTCCTCTATTAAGGGAAGCTCTATTTCTCCTTACCTTCCCACCTCACAGGTAGATTTTTCTTAGCTATGGACTGAAAATGAACTCCTAGTTAATTCTCTACCCTTTTCCAGCTCTCTAAAGCAAATTCATTTTGACTTATAATGGCCATCAGCAAATTAGGACAGTTACGAACATAGTGTCCATGGGTCTGTGGAGGCTTGAAGAGTTCACACCAAGGCAGCGGCAAGGCTAAGACACGAAGAGGCCAAAACTATTCCAGAGCAACAGGCAGGACTTTCTCAGTGCCAGACACTGGGAGGCAGGCAAGTTCCCTGGCTGAATGTGACACTGTCGGACAGAAAACAATCGTCACACAACTGAATGTCTCCAGTTTCTAAATGAGCAATACTGCACATGGCCTGTAGGCCCCAGAGCATAAGCCAACTATAAGCTCAGGTCCCCCAAAGGCCAAACCTGCCCCCAAGGCCTTGGAGTGTCACTGGGAGTTCAGCCCCACCCAGGAGCCCAGAAGCAGCTGGATGGGAAGGGAGCCCCACCAGGCAACTAGGAAAATACGTCTTCAGGTGCCTCCCTGGCTCCAGGCAATCCCAGTTCAAGGGCAGTTCAGAGACCTTCCTTTCCCTCCCTAAACTGTGTGCAGTCTAAAATGACACAAATATCTGTAATGAAGAAGGGACACAAGGTGCATTTTGTGACTGACTGGCTTCCCAGTAATGGCTTACTTATGTTCCTGAGGGCAAAATGTCCCTGCCAGGTTTAAGGCGGCCTAATTATGTGTCACCCCTGGACCAGAAGCGGGGACTTTTCTCTGCAATGCTCCCTCCTTGAGGTCGGATGCCTCCTCATTCAGGTAACAGAAATGTCAATTCCTTAATTAAACAAATACAGCGGAAGGATAACAATCTGATTTTTCATTCTATTTGCTTGTACCGTAAAAAGTGGTTATTGGTCTTTTTTTAGAGTTGGGTAATTATTACAGTCTATTTATATCTTCAATCTAATTGACTCCCTTTTATTTAAAAAGTTCAGCACTTGCCCCTTCTCACGCCAGCAAGACGAAAAGACATGCCACACAGAGCTCACCTAACGAGCACGATTGCTCTCTTGTCTGCATGCAAAGCAATTAATTCAATATATTTCTAACTTAGGGGAGTGCCAACCTTAAGACCATTGGAAACTGCCATCAACGGGATTTTTCAGTCAGGCACCACTAAAAACTACACATTAACTCATCTGCAAAGTGCATTTTAAAACATATTTTAAAACCTCCTTTCATGCTAATTGCATAAAAAGGAAAATCGCAGCCTTTTAAAGAAATTCTGATGATTAAAGATGACAGTTCTCAAAGAGGAAAGGTTCTTTTCCTTCACATTAATAATACATATGTTTGAGAGCACCCAACAAAAGCCTTCCCAGGAGGCTACTATTCACCTGTGCCACCTCTGCTCCAGCCTCTGCATCTAGGTCAAGGGCATCAGAGTCGGGGGTTTATTCCTTTGTGGCGGGGGAGCTGCTGTCCAGTCCCTCCGTGGTCACAGACAATACCTCTGCTCCCAACAAGCCATTTCCTAATCAGACCCTACGGCCCCTCCCCAGGCATCCAGACCAAGGCCAGTGGTATCCAGTGGTCTCTGCCAGGGCAGCACATCAGGGCTTGTAGGTGGTGTCACTGCCACAGGTCTGGGGACAGGTCTGGCCAGGCGAAGCCTCTAGCCCCGCATGTCCACCAGGCCACAGTGCGTTTTCTGACTCCTGGGGGCTTGCAACAGGCTCTCATCTTCATTCCTTCCACCCTAATCTGCATTCCTCTAGCCTCTCTTTGCCTCTGCCTTAACCAGAGGTTCTCAACCTGTGGGTCGCAACCCCTTTGGGGGTCAAATGACCCTTTCACAGGGGTCACCTAAGACCATCAGAAAACACATATTTTCGATGGTCTTAGGAACCGAGACACCGCTCCTCTATCCGTCAAATTTGCTTCAAGACAAAATTTCATTTATTTGTAATTAGAAATAAATATTTCAAATATATAATTACATATTTTTGTGATTAATCACTATGCTTTAATTATGTTCAATTTGTAACAATGAAAATACATCCTGCATATCAGATATTTACATTATGATTCATAACAGTAGCAAAATTATAGTTATAGAGTAGCAACGAAAATAATTTTATGGTTGGGGGTCACCACAACATGAGGAACTGTATTAAAGGGTCGCGGCATTAGGAAGGTTGAGAACCACTGATCTTAACCACCTGTAAAGCGGTAATAACAGTAGTGCTCTCCCGAGGCTGTGGTGAGGATGAAATGTAAAGCCTGGCTCAGAGCAAGGTCTCTGTTAGCATTATTTACTACAATCCATATGACTCCAGGTGCTCTCCAGAACCGGAGCCCCCCTCAAACCCTGTGCAGTCTGTCTTGCTCTTGCCAGCCCAAGCCACTCAGGGGCTGGGCCCTCCCCTATACCTGCAGCAGCTGCGTGGGTCTCTCTTCAGAAGCGATGGAGCCAACACACTGGCCTCTCCTGAGGCCAACCTTGGCCACTTCCCATAATCCCCCGCTTCTGCGCCCACCTACCAGATTGAACACCCAGGGTCTCAGTTCTGGCCTAACCTGACCCCAGAATTGCCACATGCTTTTGGCGACTGATAACAACAATAATATTATAGTAAGCGTTAACATTTCCTACTGTTTAGTGTCAAGCCACATGACCTATCCAAAATCACTTAATCCTTATAACAATCCTGGGATGGAAGTACTACTATTCTTCCCATTTCACTGATGAGGAAACTGAGTCACAAATAAGGTAAGTAGCTCATCAAATGCTCTCAAAGCCAAAGCAAAGCAGGGGTTCCAACCCTGTAACAACAAGGTTGGGTTCCAGAGTCTCTGCTCTTGGCCACATGCCAGTTCCCTGTCTGAGCACTGGCGCTTCTCCCTGGGGCAGGAGCACAGCCCTCAGCAAGGAAAGTCCCTGGTCCTACCTCCCTCAGGCTCACTGTCCTCCCCACACCAGCCCCCACTGCACAATTTAACCTGCTTGGAGTAAGATACAGCAGCCAAGTCTCCAAGCTAAACAAACAAACAACATGTCCTGCCTTTCCCGAGGCCCTCCAGCCCCCAACCTCACCCCTGGCTCAGTATCTGAGTTACACAGCACCGTGGGAGAAAAAAACACGGGCCCATGTTCCTGAAACTCCAAATGCCATCAGAGAGGGCCCTAAGCTAAAGCACTGAGGCTACTGAACAGGCAAAAGGCTATCCGTTCATGATGGATGTGTGCAAATTCGACATGCCTTATATTATAGAGGACACATTCTTCTATACTTCCCTCATCTTGTGTGTTCTGTACATTTACATGCTTAAGAAAAAAACAGTGAAAGATACATTCTCCCAGGGGTGTGTCGAAGGCCATCCATCATCTTAGCAACTGGAGTTTGCAGATTTGCAACTGGCCGCTGCTTTTGGCTCCTGGGTTGGTTCCCTCATGAGGCTCTGCTGCCCCCTAGTGGCACAGGGAATTTCAATATTCTGAGCTAACTTGCTTACAAGCTCTCAGTTAGCTTTCTTCCTCCCCCTCCCAGCCTTTCCTTTCTTGGCCTCTCTGAAAGAATCCTTCCACTACTAGATTAGCTTCCCGGTTTAAATGGCTTCCCTTTTCAACCCATTTTACTCGCAGGAGGTAAGTGCCCCACATGCACCCCTAGCAACTGCAGACACCTCCTGGCTGTTTTTTTGTTTCCTGGGGTTTTTTATTGGTTTGTTTGCTTTTTGCCTTGTAGCTTACTAAACATTTTGCCTTTTCTAGACCGACTTTTCTATGAATCTTCCCAGACCACACAGAAAGGTTTCAATTTGTCTTTCCAAGTTCCCTGCTTTCAGCAATTGCTACCATTTTGAAAGGGATGAAAAAGACAGAGGCGAGACATAGATGCAACCCAGTCCCCATACCTGAGTCTTTGTGGGAAAACACCAGTGCTTCTCTTCCCCAGACTGAAACTCAAGGGACTGGGTGCCCTTGGCTAAGAGTTCAGGTGATTGGTAATCTCAAAGCTTGCCTCTGTGTACACACACAGCACCCTGCATGGGGCCTCAATGTTCCCTGCTAGACCCTACAGGGGAAGGGGGGAGGAGGGAGTTAAACTGGCAATTTTAAAACATAAAATTATTGTTATAATGCAGAAATATACTTTTGAGTGCAATGCATAACTTAGTGGAATTTTTGAGACAGAATTAAGGGATTTCTAAGAACCCTCTGCTTTTTCCAAAGGGCACCTTTCATGTTGCCCTCCAGAAATGTGCAATAGTGCTGCTGACCTTGAACTCTGAACTATGCTTCCAGGCGTGTGTGTGTGTGTGTGTGTGTGTGTGTGTGTGTGTCCCCGCGCACGTGTCCCCGCGCACATGTGCACGCGCACGTGTGCACGCGCACGAAAACGTGTATACTGTGTGCACATGTATGTGTGTGTGATGTGTGCACATGTGATCTGTGTGTGCATGTGTGCTTGCACATGTGTTTTGTGCACGTGTGATCTGTGTTTGTGTGTGTACTTGTGATGTGTGTACGTGTGTTTGTGTGTGCGTGCTGTGCACATGTGTGATCTGTGTGTACATGTGTGCCTGCACATGTGTGATCTGTGTGTATGCATGTCATTATCCTCACTTGCATCAATATCGTTTTACTTTGATGGTGGGAGATAGGAACGTCCCGTGAGAAACAGTTTTGGGTATTACCAATTCCTAACACCTTAAGTAAAGTAACTTTGTAAACATGTTCCATGAGGCTAGCTGTGGAATGAGGAAAAGAAAATTCTAAGTAGGAGGAAAAATGAGGTAGGAATGATGAAGGTGGCTTGACGTGAGCTTCAGGTGAGGCTGCTGTCCAGAGAAGGCAGGCAGGGTGCCGCACAGAAATACGCACCCAGACCCAAAAGACACTGCCGCCTTTCAACTCTCAACTCGACCCACCTCCCCATCCCACGTCACCCTGAACAATTCCCAGGCTATGGCAGTTTGTGAAAATCAAAGGGAACATACTATTTGCCAACCAACAGCTTACACACTTTCTGTTTCTACTTTTCAGGTGGTACCATGCACATCCTGGGCCTGCCCTGCTGTGGGTGCCCACCGCAGGCTTCTTGCTGTGCCCACTTGTTAATCCTGGTTGCCACAGTCCTCCGAGAATCAGGGTCGGGGCTCCTAGAGCTAACATGCCCCCAGACAAGCTGACCTTTATTTTGAAGGCTGATGTTCCTGAAGTTTTTTATTTACTATGTAAAAAAAAAAAAAAAATCAAGACACTAATGAGTGTCTTAAATTTGTGGGCACCCCGAATGAAAAGACTGGGGAGTCACATGGATGACCACAGCAACAAGGACACAGGCTTCATAATCTGCAGAACACCAGTCCAAGCCCCATGGGCCCTACCTGTCCGATGAAATCCGGGAAGCTGAGGATGGGCCCGTTGTGGAAGACTGGGTAGTAGAAGACATAGGCCATCATCCAGGGAAAGGAGTAGAAGGGGCAGCCAGCGGGCAGCTGCTGCCAGCAGAACTCGAGGCTAAAGCTGGTGTAGTGCAGGCAGCGAACGGTCAGCGTGAACTGCAGCAAGTAGTACTCGTTTTCTGTCTTGTACCACCCTCTCTGCAAAGTCACCAGGAGAGAACAGCCCGTGAGTGGCAAGGAAGGCCATCATCCCGTCTCCTGGGAAGGAGAATTCTTCCACACGTACAGCAGCTGTGCCCTAAAGGGAGTCGAGAACCACTGAACAGCAGGTGAATCGCCTTGGTAATCAAAACAGTTAGTGAGCAGTGGGCAGAAGAGTGTCTGCCATCAACCATCAACTTAGCACTAAGCCTGATGAAACATAATGAAGATTTCCCCAGATGTGCATCTGTCAGATACACCTCGTGGGTACCATGGAGACTAGCCACAACCTATGGATACTGTGACAGCTCCTCCAACAATTCTGAAGACAAAGGGAGGCTTCGAAATGTCACATGGGATTTCTGTCTTCAACATACTTTTTTTTGCTCTTCTGTTATTAATTTGGCCCCATATGGAGTTGAGGACTATATGCCAAATGAGCTTTAGAGGCGCACAGTCAAAAGAAAGAGTCCCTGCCCTCAATGTGTCTAAATTCCCATACAGGAGCTAGGTGTGTAAAAATATAATAAAAATGCAATACAAAATTAGAAATAACAAGCATGTACGAAAATATGTATGGAACAAAAGGCTAGAAGGAAATGTGATAAAATGTTAACAATGTTGAGAGAGCAAAATTATGGATCATTCTATAATCTTTATGATTTTCTGTATTTTTCTAGAATATATAGACGTATTGCTTTTTTAATGGGAAAAACAATTGATGGAAATACAGACAAGATATAGAATTTTCTATATAGAAAATAGAATAGTAGTTCATTTGATCCCTGAGGGTCTTTTAAAGCTTTATACAGAAACACTAAGCACTGAACAGTTTCTACTTCATGTCCAGGACTTTAGCAGCCACCAAGAAAGATCAAGAGAGCTGACAGTAAAAAACACAGACGCCCAATGCAACTAATTGCTGGTTATTTACTCCCCTACAGTTATATTTTTCAAACCACCAATGTGCATAATCAATGAAATATTTATCTGCCACCAACCCTATAACTGATGTTAACTGTCCCCAAATAAATGAAAATAAAACTGGAGTCTGTTTTGTTCATTTGCCAGGTCCCCAGAAAGTTAGGTGTGCATTTGTTTTTATTTTTATTGCAAATCTATTTTAAGCACACTTATTTAAATGATCACCTAGTTAATCTGAGAAGTTAAATGTCTTTTGTTCAGATAGAGCTGTTAACCTATTTACTCTCATAAGTCCAGATTTTTATATACGTGCTTTAAGTCCACTGTTGAGAGTGAAGAAAAATTATGATAACCTAACAACAGCAAAAAATACTGGCATTTTCAAAATGCTACAATTTTTACAAAATTGCTTAACATTTACTATCTTGTTAGATCCTCAGAACAACTCCATGAGGAAGGCAGAGCAGCGATTACTTCCATTTTCCAAATGATAAAATCAGGACTCAGAGGTTAAATGGCTACCTCCAATTTCAAAAATACAAAAGACAGTGAATAGAAGAGGCTACAGGCCAGCTCATCCACTGGTTTGTCTTTCCCATCATGTTATTTCCCATGACTGCCAATCCAGGGCACAATTCTAAGTGTCATCACTTGAATCAGTGAATGAGTGAACAAATGAATGAGCAAATGACCAAAAATAAAGACACCACAGGAGTTCCAGTTCCACAGTGATTTAAGAACGAATATCAAAAACTTCCCAAGATTGTGTGTGCAAGGAAATACCTGTCTTATCTGTCTCAGAGGCTATTGTGGGCATCAGGTGAGATAAGGGATGTAGAGTGCCCTATAAATTGTATAGCACTGCAGATTATTTTTTTATTAAATGCATAGGGAACTATCGCTTTCTTTTCTCTTTGTTCCTGAACCTCTGTTCCTATGACATGTGCCATCATCCATGCCTACCCAAACTGGAAGAAAATATACAAGGTTAGCCCTGTGCAACTTCATAGGGCCAAGACATAGATACAAGACATGATTGCAGAAGGCAATACCAGAGTTCACATGCACCAACCCCAGATAGCCACTAGGAGGAGCCCTACCACCGTTCTTCAATTGTCTGTTGCCTGAAAACAAAAGCATCTATCAGGAAGGGGGCACTGCCAAAGGGAACTTCTTCCCACTGGTACAACAGAAACGCTTACCTTAACTTCCTCCACATCTTGCAGCCTTAATGTGGAGAGCAGGAGGAGAGAACACAGCCATGAGAGGAACAGTGACCGGAACTGGGCTACGCAGAAGGAGATGACAGTGTGGAGAAAAATCATGGCCGTTCCTGGGGCCCCCAGCACACACCAGCAGGCCCACATTCCATAGGCCGTGAGGATCCAGGGTCTGTGCTGCAGACAGGAGAGAGACACAGCGGAAGCGGAGAGGGGGGAAAGAGAGAACGATGAGCTAACGGGCATTGCTATTGAAGGTTCTACATATGAGAAGATAATGTTTAGTGACCCATTAACCAAACTATTCTCACTGTCCTGAGGATTTACTGCAATACAGACAAACAGGACACAGAGGGGCCTTCCAGAGTCATGGCTGGCTACCCCCAGGTCGCAAGCACCCCACCAGCTCTATCCAGAAGCAGGGGCCACTTTCCTGCCTTCAGCCACGCCACCCAGACCACTGGATCCCACAACAATAAGATATTGAGCTGACTTTTCAAGAGACATGATGGAAGCCAGAAGACAGCTGGAATCACTGCCAACCTGGAACATTACCCCTGCATACACTATCCTGCAAAAAAGAAGGTGAAAGGAAGTACACGTGCACACTTCTCAGGAGTCTTATTGAAAAAACTGGGCCATCCAAACCACAAAAGGCTTTCTAAAGTCTAAACCAGAGATTTAAAATTAAATATCTAATTACATTTTTATTTTATTAACATATTGTTTACAGTCAAATTTATGTCACAGAAAAAGTGTACCTTACCTGCTCTATATGATCTTGAGACCTTTGCATAATCAATCTCATTGAAACATTTACACCCCTTTTAGGAGAATCAGAGATGATCTGTCTAATTATCAAGTTTTATAGTGATTGACATTGAATAACTAAGTAGACAAATTAGCATGTCTTTGCTTTTATGATATACTTTGGTCATACCTGGCTGGTAAATCCTTACTTAAAAACCACAATATGTTTTAGCATTGTTGGAGAGGCAATATAGCACAGTAGTTTAATTACTCAAGCTTTGAAGTCCAACTGCCTATATAAATCCTAGTGTCCCCATTAATTAGCTGTGTGACCCTAGTCAAGTTATTTAATCTCTCTGTGCCTCAGTTTTTATTATATATAAAATTAGGATAATACCAGTATTTACTTCAGGAGGTTGTTGTAAGGATTACATAAGTAAATGCAGGTAAAATGCTCACAAAAGTGTCTGCATACATAGTAAAGATATTAGAAATACTAGTTGTTATTCCTGTAGGGAAATATGATGTGTCTTTTCAGCATGCATTTCAAAAGATGGTTTCCAAGAATATACCTAGTTGAAAAGTGGGGTCTGTTTGAATTTAAGTCTTCTCGTAAAAACAAAAAGATTTCTTTAAAGGAAGGGCAAATGTGGGCTGCAAATTGTAAATCCCATCCTTAGATGCTAACTCTTCCAAAATATTGCCGAGGTACAAATTTTCCCAAACTTATTACTCTAGCTCAAGAGAGAACATTTTAAATGAGCAACTACATCAGTGACCTTTAAGTTCCAAGAAAATCAGAGAACTCTGCAGTTCAGTTTTACTCTTTTTCTATTCTACTACCCACAGAAAACAGCCACATAAATTCGCTTCAATCTTTCCCCCAAACACTTACCTGTGGGCACAATGCAATTATAAGGAACAAAGTCACCAAAGACTATTTTAAGAAGTAGTTATAACAAATGCAAAAAAAAAAAAAGGTTCTTTTTCAACATGACCTACAGCATTTCCCACTTGGAATTCTCTCCCGTGCCACGTACACAGACATATAGTTACATTTTTATTCAGTGCTCTTTGATCCATTTGGGAAAAGCCTGTTTTCTGGGATTCACTTGGGAACTTAACCACAGACTTAAGCTGCTTCAACTTAGAAAAGCTGAACGAACATTCAGGAAATACTTAACAGTGCTGTGCAAGCCCCGTCTGCTTGAGAGAATCTCTGATGAATTTAACTGTGCTCACAAAAGCTACCTTGGGGGCACACAAGCTTGTCCCATATTCTCATCCCCCATTGTCTTCCTCCTGCCAAACAGTGCAGGCCGATGACATTTATTGCCATTCTCTCTAAGACATGACAGAAAATGCTCTCACATTAACTTCGTGTTCTCTACTAACCCTCATATCACCCACTCATTCTCCCCAATGGGTAAAGGCAACTCTATTCCGTACATCCATGGCAGACAGTTGATGAAAAGGAAAAGATGGAACAATGCAAAAGAATAAGCTATTAAAAAAAACATTACATAAATTAGAACCACACTAAAATAGCGATTTTCATACTTTGTCTATAAAAATGCAACTGGAATCCCATCACCAAAACACCACTAAAATCCTAATGTAGCATGAATAGCCAGCCAGCCATGCCTCGTTTCAAAGGTTACAGTGTGTATCTTCTGGGACTCGCTTTTTCCACTCAGCATAATTCCTTAGAGAGTCATTCAAATTTCTGCAGGTATCAAAGCTTTACTCCGTTTTATTGCTGTGTAGCATTCCATGACGTGGATGTACCACAGTTTGTTTACCCATTCACCTGTTGAAGGACACCTGGGCTGTTTCCAGTTTGGGGCTATTACAAATAAAACTGATATGAACATACGTGTATGGGTTTTGTGTAAAAATAAGTTTTCATTTATCTGGGATAGCTGCCTACGCGTGCACTTGCTGGGTTGCATGGTAGTTATATGTTTAGTTCTTAAGTAACTGCTGAACAGCTTTTCAGAGTGGCGGCCTTACACTCCCACCAGTAGTGTATGAGAGCGGTCCCGTTCACCCCCATCTTCACCAGCATTCAGTGCTGTTACTCTGTTCCAGCTGAACCGTTCTGGTAGGTATGCAGTGGGATCTCACTGCGGCTTTAATGTGCATGCACAGCGTTCTTTAAAGGGTGTCAAAGTGTGAGCAACCTGAAACTTGAGAATAAGACAGGCGGAGTGAACTCTGCTCGGGCACCCGATGCCAGCCCATCAGAACTATCCTGACCCTGTTAACTCGCTTCATTTCAGGCTCTTCAGTTTCTAATTTAAGGCAAAAAGGAAGGCAGGGGAGGGAAGACGAGAGACTTTTTAAAAGTCTAACAAACAATAAGAAAAAGCTTTACTCTATTCTTGTGGCAGTAGAGATGAAGCCACGCTAAGAAGATATGGCCTTTCTGATGGGACACAGAGCTGACTGCCCCAGGCTGAATTAGGTAGGCAGGCTTGCCCTCTGTTCCCACTGCTCCCTGTGTTTACACTGAACCATTTCTCAAGATGGGGGGAGGGGACGGACTCTCTACTTGACAGCCTCCCTTAGCAGGATAATACCCTGTCTTGCTCATGGTACAATAATGTAAGCCCAGAATTCAGCATGATACCTAGCGTATGGCAAGTGTTTCATAAATATTGGATGGATGGATGGAACAGATAGTGGGTGGATGGATGAATGGATGGATGGATGGACAAATGGATATGCTTACCTAAGTCTTGGAATTTAATCTGATAGTTATGACTAAGAGCTAACAAGAAATTAGCACCAAAATTTTGCAATGTTTAGTCCACTAATGTGAAAACCTGATGTTTTCCAAAGTCTCTGTACCCCTTAACCCCTTATAAACAAAGCCCGCTTTTCCAATGCGGATGAAATAGAAGGAACTCATTTCACATCTCACTGCCTACTGCCTGTTTTCCACTCACAGGGGTCTTTTGTGTTGGGGAAAATCTCAACTAATTCACAACTGATAGGGCACAGGCACCAAACTATGAAAGCGGACCTCTGCGATAGAACCTGCTTGCTGTCTATCACCCCAGTGAAGTCTTCCCGGAGACGAACCAACCAAGCTGGCACATTTCCAAGGCTGAAATCTGCACCCCTGAGAAAAGACCATGGACTCGCCCTCCTTTCTTTTACAAATCGATATTCTTCTATCTTCTTCACAGGGAGTCAGAACCCTGCCACAGGAAGAGCTGGCTGACAACGCCCCCTCTCACACCATCGCTACTTCTCTTCTCCTTCAGCTTGTTCTGTGCTGTGGGCACGGAGTGATAACAGGATGTGCCTGAGTGGTTTCCCTCATTAGCTGTGTATTAATTCTTTTTGTACATCTGCCCAAAGAGCACTCAGTGAGGGCATTGTTTGATAAACAAATAAAGGGAGTCAATCAATAATCCTTATGTATGGCATAATTTATTACATACTACATAATCAGTTGCAGGTGCTACTAAAAAATGGATCTATATATCTCCCTAAACAAACAGGGGAAAAAACAAAACCATCCCAGAGCCCAAACAACTGTATTCTAGCCGGTTTTTCTTGGGAGCGAAGGCCAGTGGGCCCCTACAAAGCAAATTTCATCCCTCCCTAGATATGCACGGATGGAAGGGTCTAGTTCCAGGAAAACCATTAGTGCATGAGATTCTTATTAGGTGTGTGGTTTCAGTAATACGCTGGAAGGTAGCGCCTGTTCATCACGGTCCTCCAGAGGTTACTCATCCAGCCAATGCCATGGGACCATGCTTCTCAGTCCTGTGGCCGATGAGCTCAGCTGGTTGGGGTCCAAATGCTAATGATGTGGGTTCTGCCAGCCAGAGGTACAGTGCAAACTCTGCTCTGTGGTTAGCAACAGCACCCACCCTCAGCCCCCACACCAGGCCAGCCTTCTCAAAACGTTCACACAGGGTTTATTTTAGTGCTGAGGGCAGAGAACACAATGTCTCAGGTGGCAATGAGGCCACAGGGGTGTTCAAGAAAGGAGGCAACTGTCTGACCCACCCAACATACAATCCAATCACAACAAACCCACAGCCAAAGCTCAGAGCTGTTACTCAGCCTCCCCTCCAAGGGCACTGGCCCCTGACACAACCTCACCAAAACCCAAAGAGAGAGCCCTGCCCAGAGAAAAGGCATTCAACCTCGGCCAAGGAGCTCAGTGGAAAGTTTTATTACTTGTCATGGGAGAAAGGAAGAAAGAAAGGAGGGAGGGAGTGAGAGGGAAGGAAGGAAAAAAGGAAGGTATCAAGGAAGGAAGAAAAAAGAAAGAAAAAAGAAAGAAAGAAAGAAAGAAAGAAAGAAAGAAAGAAAGAAAGAAAGAAAGAAAGAAAGAAAGAAAGAAAGAAAGAGAGAGAGAAAGAGCAAAAAAGAAAGAAACAAACAAACAACACTGTTGAAAATAA